ACATGAAGATGACTCTTCATGTCCTCAAATATTGATATGCTGTAAGTTATTTGTTCTCTCTCCCTTCTCAGTGATTCTCCTGTTACCTAAAGAGCATCCTTCTGCTCACTGCCACTGTTTCTGCTTTATTTTCCCCTTTCTCTTCCTTCCGTTTCTTCCACTCCTATCCTTTCGTGCCCTTGATATCAGTGAGGGTTATTCTTCATCACCTGTTCAGTAGTCAAAGAAGACATGATTTTCCTTCTGCTTTCAAAAATGATAAGTCACATCCTGTGTTCTATAACCTTCATTGTCTTTTGATTCTGCTCAAATATTTTTGTCACTGATGACTTTTCTGCACTTCTATTTTTCTGCATGAGTTGTTCCAGCCAACTGAAGGTAACTGGGAGTGAAATGGAAGTGGTGAGTGCTAAGAAATCAAGCCCTTATTTTACTGTTATCTTCTCTTTACACATTCTTCTCTTTTCAATTAATTTTCAAAGTACAGTACAGAAATGTCTATGAATGGCTTACTATATGGCCTAATTCCAACATGAGGTCCTTCAGAGACTCCAGAAAATAGATAATTGCAGATGAACAAAGTAAATTAAGGGCCCCAATGGAAACTTAAAACTTCTAGACCATTTACCATTAATGCATACGCCAAAACCACATTCTTTTAGGCAACAAAGATATGTATCTAAAAGAAAGTTAACATATATGCTATTGACTTATACTGAGGGTTGCCACCCCTCTTTTAAAGTTTTAACCTTGTATATTATTATCACTATAATTTTAGGAAAACATTTAATAAAAAATTAAACTTTTAAGTTATTAAGTCCACTATTTCTGTTACATAATACAAAAGGTTTTAAGATTATATATTCTTGTGTGCCTCAAAGTACACCTTCACTCTTTCTTACATGAAAGCAAGGTAAAAACACCAAAAATTTTTTGTTACTGCCTTTTGTTATTTGTTTTGTTGTGCTGGGATTAAACCTAGAGTCTTGCAAATCATAGATAAGTGCTCTGCTACTGAGCTACATTCCCACCCAGCTCCAAATTCTTTTTGTATAGAATTTGGTTAAAAAAAAACCCCACATTGTAAATTCATTAAACAGAGCTAAAAATAGATCCTAAAGCCCAGGCTCTGAAATCTTTTTGCATATTTTAACATTAGGTACAAGTGTTTAAGGAATCTGCATGTTTTCCTGGTGTGGAAATATAGCTGAGGTAGAGTGAAATGAAGGCAGGTATAGATGATTGTGATTAATGAAAGGAAAACAAAAGTTCAAACTAGGTATCTTAATTCATTTCTCCATAGTGTATACCATCAGGTTCTTTAATTATGGAAAGATGGTCTCTTTCTGGGAACAAACATCTGAGGTTACATTGAAAATTTAGTGTCACCTATAGAACACTATTCCCTTAGGTCATCCAAGAGGGCACAGGAAGAATTTTTGTTACAAAAAACATTTTTGTGTTTTTGTAATGGGATTTTACCTACAATGATAGTAAAGGCTCACACTTACTAAGCAACCAAAACGTGTCAGGTAATTGTTAAGAATCATACATGGATTGACATTTGACCTCTTAACAAACCTGAGTTAAATATGATCATATATCCCCCTCTTTTATAGATGGGAGATGAGCTTCAGTAGTTTACTCAATAAAACTAACTTATGTTCTTCAACAGGGATTCAGATACCAAACATCAATTAGCACTCAAGCTCCATGCCACAGTGTCTTCACATTTATGTCCTACTCAGGTAAAATCCCATCTTCTGTCAAATTTTTCTTTCTTGCAGTTTACTTAAAATATATCCTGAAAGTATTTAATAAGATGCAGTGCTTTAAAAGCATAATTTTGACTTAAAAACTAGAATATTTGCCCTATGTTTTTAATTTTTACTATCCCCAAAATGAATACATAAAACATCTGAACTATAAAAAACAGGATAAGACAAAAAATCTTGTTTTAAAAGAACATAACCACTTAGTTGGTATTCCATTCAAAGTATCTTATAATAAAAGCACAAATTGTTTCATTTGACAACACTGAAGAATGAGGTATATGAATGTTTTAATCACAGACTTTTACTGTATGCAATTAGCTGTATTTCACAACTAGCATCTTACAAAAGACAGTACCATTGTGCCTGGATAAAGTACTGCAATTAAACAGAAAATTACATTACCACAAGAAACCACCAAATATCACAACTGTCAGGGTCTACATTTTTTTTCTTCATATGTTATCATGTTTTTAATGTGATATTTTGTACCGAAGTTATGTTTTTAAGTTGATTTACACATCAAAAGTCTCCTGTAAGTGGATGTATACTAAGCAAATGGTTAGAGAAAGCAGGAGACCCTAGGAGAATTTAAGTATATGTGGTTTCTAAGTTGGATTTCAAAATACAACATAAAACACTTTATTAGTTGTAAACAAAATGCAAAATCTGTAGTCATAAAAATATTTTATTGGTAATTGTACATAATAATGAGTGGGGCTGTAAATACTTTTTAAATTTCAGGATATTGATAAATGCATAAATTGGCAGTTGTATCTGAAAATAGGGTAATATGATTTTCATAAGAACTGTCATATTTAATAAGAAGCCAATTAAACTGATATAAGATTAGTTATTTCCCAGTTCTGTGCAACAGTTCCAATTTCTGTGTTAATTAGATTCATATATCTATAACCCTGAATAAGTTTGGGACAAGAAAACAGTGATAAAACTATCATTAAGTTAAAGCTTTTCCAAAATTGCAACTTTTAAAATATGGAAAGTTTCTTTTCTGTTTTTGCCCAATGAATTTTAATGTTTTATATAGTTATTTGAATTTTAATGTTTTATATTATACAGAAAATACCAGTGTTCAATGACAATATCACCAAACCTGAATTATAAAGCTAAATAATCAATGTTTTATTCTTTACTAGTCTGCTAGTAAACATTACAATAAATGAATGTTTTGAAAAATAAGCAAACAAACAAAAATGGATAAAACCAGAAGCATAATTCAGAAACAATAATTTAGTAAAAGGTGTCAAAAACATTGGCAAAGGTTCATAACAAATTCTTTATTTAATAACAACTTTCCTATTTAACCACACCAAGTACCAGCAGGTGTATTTAAGAGGATAACCATTAAGAAAATCCTGTTGCAGCAATAGTTGATTAAGTTGATCTTTGACTTGTATACATATAACTATTTGTTTCACAATTCTCAAATATTACATATTTAGGCAGCTTGCACTATGTTATAAAAAATTGAAACTTGTTACATGCCAATAGTAGAGAATTCAAGAATCATGTGTTAGAATTCACTAAACTAAAAGTGAAAATAGACTTACCAATAACACTGCATAATAATTCAACCACATTTTCATGGCACATAACCGCAGAGACCAAAATGTTAGGTCAGGAAATGTTTGGTAGGCATAGATTACGGTAAAATCTAACAAATTCTGACAAAATTTTAATTTTATGTAAAACTCAAATTATGGATTGTGCACAAATGTGTTTGTCATGAAAATGTGGTATTTCTTGGCATAATCTGTGTATCTGCATGGTAGGACAGAAGTGACTAAGATAAGAAATTGGAGAAAATAAATTTTAATGAGATTCTCCATTCAATGATGAGGCTTCTCCTCTGGGTGAAGATGACCTGGACATTCCCCTCTCTGTGTTATCAGAGCTAGAGCCACTCTGACTATGTTGATCTGCAGAAGCAGCACTAGATGCAGGCGGTGACTTTGTTTTCTCCTTAAAGTCTGTAATAATGACTGTTAGATCTCCAACGGTAACTTCCAAATGCTGAGCACTACTCCGATCCACATTTTTCAATCTTGGCCTAAACATAAAAAATGATGAATTTTTAAACTAGCTTGTCCCTCTACCAAATTTCTGAACACACACTAAATAGTAAACTAGGCAAAAGTAACCAAATGAATACATCTATGTTTAAAGCGATTTATGTGAAACCAGCCACAAAAATATCACTAAATGCTTCAAATAATTAACATTAATTGAACCAATCATTCGTGAATCTTCAACATGACAAAAAACTACAAGCCTGGATTTAGTGGTCTCTTAATTATGCTTTAAATTTATACTATATTAAGATAGACGTTTTAAAATCAAGGAAAATAGCTGTATCACAGAGGAAATTGATGAAAGATAAGGCTGAGCTATATGCGGGGCTGTTATTCCACTGGTACCAGACCCATAACCATTTTGATTGGTCAAAGCCCATGCAAAGGAATTACCATTCTCCTGCTTTTCAAATAGTTCTTTTTATGAAGAAAAAAAAAGAACAGACAGAAATATCTATTAAAAGTCTTGTAAAATGAAAACCATCCTCATACTTAAGCTTATATTTGTGACCTCTGGGTTTGATTTCACTTTTTGTATATATCAATGTTAAAAAAGAATATAAATATAGATAATTTTATTACTTCAACAATGCCATAAAACACTCTTCAAATTTACCTGGTTTTCTTATGACTGTTCTTTTTGCTAGTTGTTTCCTTTTCACTTTTTTCTTTTTCTACTTTATCTTTTTTCTCTTTCTTTGACTGTGTAGGGGGCACAAACTGCTGAGTAACCTGCTGTGCAACCAACTGGGAGACAGGTCGAGGTTTCCTGTGTGCATGTTAAAAAGAAAGGTTTTGGCATTATAACTTAAGAATATATATATAGTTTTATGAAAGAGTATCCCATGTTATGAGAATTTCTAGTATAAAATCCTCATATGTAAAATAAAATTACTGTGCTGTTCAACAAAAATAGAAACAAACTATAATAATGGTTAAAATTCATAGTCTAAGATATATGGTCAAAATATTAAAATATAACTGTACACAAAGCAACATGAGACATCATTTAAATGTACATCATTAAATGTTCATAGGGAGGCATACATATAAATAAACATGAATTTTTAAAAAGTTAAACTTTAAGGTTTTCACTGAACTAATATTTTATTTTATTGGTACTAGGGATTGTACAAAGCAACCACTCTACCACTATATCACACCCTCAACCCCTGAAATAATATTTTAACTTATCCCTCCTCCTCAGAGAACGAAATATCTAACTATCCAAGACAATGACTATTTGTTCTTTCCTTTTAAAACCTTTAATTTGTTCACTTAATATTTTGAGTTCAAAATTTCTCATTTCTTATTACTCAAATCCTTAAAACTCCTATGACCTTGGTCACAATCTCATTATGCATTTTTTGACCTTAAAGAACTACTCAGTCTTTTGAGATTTAACTACTTACTCATTTAAACTTACTCATTTAACTACTTACTCATTAAAAAGAATATTGAGAAACTACTGCAGGACTTACACAGAAGTATTTTAAATGTCTCATGGATTCACCCTTTGGTGCAAGATAAGCTATCACCATATTGGCCCAGGATCACAGGTATAGAACTTGGGCCCCTGAGGCCCTTAAGAGAGAAAGAAAGGCAAGGAGTGGGAGAGAGCAGAGGGGGAAGAAGTATGGACAACAAATAAAATCATATTTCAACATTTAGTCTACGAAAAATAGTAACTTCATTGATTAGAAAATCCTTATCCTATTGCAGGTAGTATAGTTTTAAAAAAATTTTTTTGTTGTTGTTGTTCTTCTACAGCAAGACAAAACAAAATACTGAGAAAATACTGCAAAATCTAACATTCAAAGCTAAAAGGAAATAGGAAACAAGATGTAAAACAGATTTCAGGAGACCAATCATGAACTTTGTTTAGAACCTATACAATATGAAGTACTGGAAGGACATCCAGGACAGATGTCTAGTGCATAATTTAAAAAATAGGATTGACAGAAATCAGGGTTAGAGAGCTAGATCTAGAGATCTAAAGATCAAAATAAAAGTGTTATTGAATGTATGGTTAAGTAATGGTTGACTTGTAAGGAAATGAGCTTAAAAAAGAAAAGGATTAAGGTAGTGATGCTCAAATTCAAGGTATATCAAAATCTCCTAGAAGGCTTGTTCAATTTGCAGAGCCCTATAAGCAGAGTTTGATTCAACAGGCGTTGGGATGGAGCTAAAGGATTTGTATTTTTAACTAATTTCTAAGTTAAGCTGATGTCTCTGGTCCAGGGACCATATTAAAAAAAGTTTAAAGAATCTGTGCTATATTATATTTGGTGAATACTGAAGAGTAGTCTGAAAGCAGAGAGCAACAGAAAAATGAAGGGGGAAAGAAAAAAAAAGGACTGAATAAATAGGAAAATATTCAATAATGAAAAGCTAAGGAGCATGATTTACCCTTAAATGATAGAAAGTTTTAGACTTAAATTTTACAAAGTGTCATCAATCTGAAGATATTGTAGGGAAACTTCCAGGAAGCTTCCAGGTAAAAATTCAAAATAAAAATTTAAAGTAACACCTAAAATAAGGAAGCAACAAAGAAGTTAAGTCAGGCGGAAAAAGCAAATGTTGACTACTTAGATGTGCCTTCCTCACTTCTCAACCTACAAATATTCCTTAAGCAAAACATCACAAAATCCATGTTATCATCTAACATTATGTGGGTGAATACTATAGTCTGAATTTTTATGTCCCTTACCCCCAATTCTTATGTTAAAACCTAATCTTTAATGTGACAGAATCAGGAAGTGGGGAGGTAACTGTAATTAGGTCATAAGACCAGAGCCCTCCTGCATGGGATCACCACCCTTATGAAAGAGGCCCCAGAGAGCAGCTCTGTCCCATGCACCACGTGAAAACACCATCATATGAAACAGAAAGTGAGTCTATTGAACACTGAATCTGCCAATACCTTGCTTAATCTTGCTCCTTTCAGCTTCCAAAACTGAGAAGTATATTTTTGTTGTTCATAATCTACCCAGTCTTTGTTATTTTGTTATGGTAACCCAAAAAGACAAAGACAGTGGGATCAAGGGCAAAACAAAAAGAAATAATTCTTAAATGTTGATAGGTGGTAAATAGAAAATTAAGTAAGGAACAAATGGGGCGTAAGAAAGAATTTGTAATGTTAACTTTACCATTTCTTCTGGGCTATAAGCACCACAAGGAAAGGGAAGTATCTGCTTTATGCAACATTGTATAATTACTACCTACTTGATACAGTATTGAAAAAAATACTAAATATCCAACCCTTATTTGTTAATGAATGAATGGATGATAATGATCAGATCAGGGTATTGGCATATCTGTCACCTCAGAGGTATCTCATTCAGAAAAGGGGTACTGCCTCAAAGTTTACTTATTGGTCAGGATTAACCACTCACTCTACAGAAGAAAAAGAGCAATAAGAATTTAATTTCTTTTTTAGTTGTACTGGAATATGGCTAGAGAAAGAAAGCTTAAAGATATGGCAAGGTTGAAAAAAAGAGTTGTTTAAGCTAGTGCCTAATGAACAGTCACTTAAAATTGAGTCACTCTAAAATATACAATGCAACTCAGTAGTTACCATTTTGTCTCACAACTTATTGTGGATTTTTGAGTTTTCATAATATTATGAATGCCAACTTCACCTATTGCACTTTGTACTGTCATTCCTTCTATCTCAAAAATTAAAGCAAAATGAATTTATAAAAATTTCAGAGTAAATAAAACTGCAAACATTAAAATAAATTTATATTCTTTTGAACCTAGAATAGAAATTGAATTAAAGTTATTTATGTTATAATTAATAAACTGTACAAAGTTTATTTACACCTACTTTATTACTGCTGCCTTTAAGTAAAACTCAAATAGTTTTCTAACCTCAGTACCTAACATTAAGATTTTTCAGGAATTTAACTATATTATGCTGTAATTAGGTACAGAATATTTTATAACATAATCACTCCCTCCCCATCCCTCCTCCATCAATAGTTTCTAACTGGTACCCCTCTGTTGTGACAGTATTCCTCAACATCTCCCTCCCATTTTCACGTAAGCAGGGATAACCCTAATTTCCAGATTCAGAAATCTTACAATACATTGCCACCAGGTCTTTTTCACACATTTCTATGTTCAGAATCGTCCTAGAGTCATTTTTCCTTTTAAAAAATGTCTTATCAATCTGAAATTAAAAGTATATTAGCAAAACTAAAACATAAATATTAAAAAAAAAAGTCATGGAGCTGGGGATGTGGCTCAAGTGGTAGCGCACTCGCCTAGCACGCGTGAGGCACTGGGTTCGATTTTCAGCACTATGTAAAAATAAGATATTGTGTCCACCTAAAACTAAAAAATAAATATTTTTTAAAAAGTATATTAGTAAAACATAATTTACTTCATAAAACCATAAAGCTGAGTTAAATAATTTATGTTAAGTTCTTCTAAAGTATTTTAATTCTTCTAAAGTATTACACTCTTGGTGTAACTTATGAATAGAATACTCATTAAATGTACATTCTTGGGCTGGGGTTGTAACTCAGTGGTAGAATGCTTGCCTAGCATATGTGAGACACTGGGTTTGATTCTCAGCCCCATATAAAAACAAATAAATAAAATAAAGGTATTTTGTCTATCTACAACTAAAAAAAAAAAAACAGTACATTCTTCTAGGTGGCAAAAACCAACATGGAAAGAACACATAGCGGAACTTGTCAGGGGAGAGACTAGAACAAAGAGACAAGCCAGAAGACTACCACATCAAACTAGAAATGACATAATAGCTATAAGGATCTACACTATGGTATAGTCAGAATGGAATGGAAACAGTGAACCTCATGACAGTTCAGAAGAATAATTTCTGTTATGTACCTGGATACAGAAGGCTAAAGAACACACACACACACACACACACACACACACACACACCTGCCATTAAAGTGAAGGAAATAAGGGAATCTGAGAGAGTAGTACAGCAAGCCAAGAACAGTTCTCTGAGACTCACCAACTTGTTAGATATGCTGAACTTTGAAATTTTGTAACATGAAAGAAAAGCTGGAAGCATGAGAATAGTGATGTGATAAGTAATCATGTAATCTCTGTACTAGTATTGTTTGTTGTTTATTTTATTAATTTTTAATCATCAACAAATTTTCTAGGGCTAGGGTTATAGTTCAGTGGTACAGTGCTTGTCTAGCATGTGTGAGGCACTGAGTTTAATCCCTAGCACCACATAAAAAATAAATAAAGCTCCATCAACAACTAAAAAAAATTAAAAAAAAAATTCTATAGTGGTCCTTTTTGACTTTAGAAAATGTTATTTTTTCTGTTCCTGAATAATATTTTTTGTTGTTCTTTTATCTTAGACTTACTTAAATGTGTATACAATTCCATTCTTTTATTCTTTAATGATGAGAATTAATGTATACTTAAAGATTAAAATTTACACCTCATTTCTAGGCCTGGCTCAGTTTTGGGAGAAAAGAAGCAAAAATTGTGTTTCCATGTGTGTGTGTAGTTTAAGTATTGAAATGTCTGCTGTTTTCTTAGGGCTGAATGAACTTTAAAAATGTTTCACTGAGGATAGTAGGAACATAAGTTTATGGTCTTTTTACAAATTCAGAGTAACATAATGTTCAGTGATAAGGAGTTGATGTACAATAAAAAGATCATCTATCTACATAGTAAATAAGTGCTATTTAGCCGTAGCTCAGCTGTATGCCATCATCATCCACTTACTAAACTATGTGAGGATTAAGCTGTAATTTGTGAAATATGGTA